TATGTTCAACTAATGGACTTAATGAGATATGATCGTAATAAGTGCAATTACCAATTTGATAAATGGTTTTAGAATTGCAAACGTTTTTTTTTTTATATATTAATTTTTTCACTACGATTTTCCGTATATTAGGATCGTTTTTTATTAAAATGTAGAAGAGAAACAGTGACTCACCCTTAATAAGTTTTTAAAATAACCATAAATGTTATTGTAAATAGGATTATTTATCATTAGTTTATTAATGTATACATAGAAACATACCATAAATAAGGCAATATTATTAGAAATGATAAAATATTAAATTACGGGGGAGATAGTTTTTCCACAATTTTGTAAGTTCCTTTATATATGTTCTAATATTAAAGTATTTAGGGTAATAAAATTACAATTAATTCTACCGGAATTTGAAAAAAAAAAAAAGGTAAAATGCATTGTACTCGTTATAAATGAATAATTAGAACTTTAATTATTGTGAATTTTTTATAAAAAATTTATAGTATTTCGGAACCTAAATTATTTTGTAATTATTAATAATATAAAAATTCTATTCTAATGGGGCAATTTAAGTTTTATACAAAATTAATTATGATTATTTGAATGACCGTGTTTTCTAATTTTTAAAATTTTAAATTTAATTGAATAATTTTTTGTTATATAAATAAACACAAATTAGTTCAAAATTATAACAATTAATTTGTATGAATGCGATTTTTGTTATAATAAAAGAAATATTTACAATTAAGGGGTGTGGGGTACGGCAAGATGTCAAAATGACACACAAAAATACAACGGGCCTACCTGGCCTAAGGGTATCTTCTGATAGCGGCGTTAATTTAACCTAACCTAAAATATAGTGCTGTATTAAACTGAATAACATGATTTGAAACTGTTCTAAGACAATAATCTATAATTCATAATTTTTTACATTTTGACGTACGATCTAGTACAATATTATGAATTGCAGGAGAGCGTCTTCAGAAGATGAAGAATAATTTAAAAGTTGAACTGGAAAAAAATACAACCTTTAACATTACTGAATTTAATAAGAATAGAACAAAATCGATCGCAATATCAATTTCCTAATTATTATTAAAATGTTCTAAATAAATCCCGATACCTAGTATGAAAGAACCACACGAACTATCCTAATTTATTTTTAAATTTGAGAATGGTAAACTACTATAATATCATCCAAGATATTATGTAAAACTTAGATACACAGATTGGGAGATTCGTCTATTAGAGATAAAAAAAAATCATATAACATATTGTATGAATTCTTACGTGAAGACTGCCCTCAGAAATTAACTGATTGACTTATGAAAGAGATAAACTGACAGACTCCTACTTCTTTCTTTATACAAGGCAGTCGTTTAAAATAATTATACTTTATATTGAAGAATTTCTCCGAAAGAACAAAAATAAATATTTTCTATTTAATAAAACAAAACTTTACAAAAAATATTTTGAAAAAGTTTTGATTACAAAATTTTTTTCACATGATTGTGTGTACATACCTATATATATGCATAAAACAAAATATATATATTTAAATTTATATTGATATATATATATATAAGCTTAATTGTATAAGTTTTTTGAAAACTGTAATATTTTAAAAATTGAGAAAAAGAAACTTTAAACATTTTTATGTTAAATTGAGTGGAATAAAGAAAATGTTTCATTTGAATTTTTTTTATTCACGACCACATTGCATACAATAAGAGAGGTTATGTGATGGCACTACATTTCGAATGCAAACTTTCGATGGAATCGTACTTCTCCGTATCTCAAGTTCGGCTGAACCGTTTTTTTTGAAATTTTGTATATGAGTTACTTCGGCTATATCATGGTATCATTAACTTTTGGAATATGTCAGGCCTTGCGAACTAGTCCTTTTTGCGGGCAGATTAATAATCAATCAATTTCCTCGAATTGGGAAACTTACTAGTGCTCCTAAAATTGTAAAGTGTTTAATACGCATTTTCATAGTTATCTGTAACGCTTTTAATAAATAAAATAATATCCATCCCGGTCGATTATATGTTGACCACATCAAATTATTTTTTAATAAAAATAAAATGTAGAGGAAATGAAATTGAGAAGCTTTTTATCTAATATACATATATAACAATATTTTTATATATATTGTAAGTAAAGAAATTTAATATTAACATTTTTTTATTTGTATATACAAGATTCTATGCCATTTAGATATTTAAATTTTTGCTGAACCAATTTTATAGGTGAATTTCTCTGTTAAATTTAAATTCGCACAACTATATTATGTCGAATTTAATATTAAGCGAAATTTTTTGAAATGTGAGCAAATATTTATTAAAAATACATATTATGTACTGTTATTTCTGTTTACTGTAGACACTTGCAGATTCTGTGGAGGAGAAGGGGAGATCTGAGTGTACCTTCCAGGGGAATTTGATGCTTTCACTCATAGGAGAAGAGAGGTACTGGGGGAGGCTTTAATCTCATGGCAGCGGAGTTGCGTTCTTCCGAGTCTCACAAAATGCTTGCGTTCTTCAGAATGGTGGGTATTGAGCCTGTGTTGTAGGACACACTCCGCATATTTTTTTCTAAATTATATGTGGTATTCTGAAGAAATATCAGTTTCACTGCTACTATTTTATATATAATATAATGCAATATTGCTGTCATACAACATCAAAGTTTTCTATTAAAAAATAAATCTCATTATGTTATACATTTAACATATAAGTATATTATTCCATTTATTCCATTTAAATGGTTTGTGTCTAAATTATACATATTTGTTGCAACAGTAACAAATCCGAATACGAGTATGTTCCGAAAATGAGAAATGTCGAATTTTACATGTACAGTTCAAGTGCTTAATATTAACTAACATATTTCCTAAACTCATAATATTTTGTTAACCTTTTATACCCATGCTATACTATTATAAATTCTTTAAATCTTTTTAATTATAATTTTATGTAAAAGAAGTGCACACAAATGGTGAATAGTGAAAAAAAAAACATTTTCCTTTTCTCTTTTAATGGTGAAAAGTAATTATATGAAAAGTTAAATTTATTATGCTTACGGTAGCCTAAAGTTATTTTTTTTTGCTTTTCTCAACTTGTTCAACTATATATCAAAACTAAAAACTATTTTTTTTCTTCCTTTATAATTTAAAATAAAAAAAAAAATCTTAAAAATTGTTGAAACTTTTCTAAAGCATTCAACACAATTTTTGTTTTTCTTTCTTTTAAGTCTTAATTCATTACCACACAAACTGCAATAGTCCTTGTATTATGGCCATACTCCTATAATTTTTCCTTATATTATTAAAAACCTAAAAAGTGCATATTAATATTTATTTAAGTACATAATATGTATATGACCTATATTTAATCCTTTTAAGCCCTTATTTTTTATATACGTGTATGTTCAACTATTTCATTAGACGACTAAAGCTTGTATTTTTCTTGTTTTCACAAGGAAGAAACAAAAAAAAAGTAAAAATTTCATAAACCTAAAAGAAATATCATTTTTTTTTTAAATATTTCCACATTTTATAATTATTAATTGCCCGCAAGAACTCGGAAAACAAATATACATATACATATGAAAATAAAATATGATAAAGAGTAGGAACACTCTCTTATTATATGTGAATATTAGATAAATTGACATACTACATAATACCAACAGTTGTTATATTATATAAGTAGTCTGGGAAAAGTAGCATAATTAAAAAAATAAATTAAATAAAAAAGGCTAACGGGAGACTTCTTAACTCATTTATATAAAAGTATCTACTATATACACATATATCATCATATAAAATATGAAAGAAAAAAAAAAATGAGTAAATGAGTATACATATGTAATAAAACAAGGTATACATATAAGAGAGCGAAAATATTTAAAGTACATACTCGTATATAAAATTATAAAAAATTTAAAAGAGAAAAATCCTTAAGGGAGAAACAAAGTGTATATACAATTTAAAAATTTTTTTCTTTTATTTTACAAAGAAAATGTAATGAAAAGGTTCCAGTCTATCGGCATTTTTGCTGATGCACTTAACTTTTTTCACACTTGCAAACATTTTTTAATAAATTTATTTTTCCGATGCAATCTGTTTAATGTTGTTGATTAAATAAGAATTATCATTTCATTAAAGTTGTAGAGATTCATTAGAATTATTAGTTCGAAGTTGTTTATACAAAGGTGCAATCTGCTATATCACTGAATTGTCAAATTTGAAACGAGTTTTAAGAAATGTTTTTATTCATGATTTCCGCTTTAGTACCAAAATAAATTGTTGAAAATTCAAAAAAAATTTTGAAAAATAAATCTGAAAATTTATTTAAAAAATTGTAATTGAAAAATTTGTATCGAAAGCATATCAAATAACTTATTTTTTCATTTTTGAACTCTTAAAACATGAACTTTTGCATACAATCATTTTTATATTCTTAAAAATTTTATTTGACATTTTCATTTTATTTAACTTCAACTCTTGTATCAAAACTATTGTAAACACATCAATTTAAATAATCTATTAAACTTTGGTAAACATGTCTTAATTAAGTCGATATAATCGACATAGTTGAATCGATTAACTTTGTAAACAAATTAGATATATAAAAATTTTTTATTATGTAGTTGATTTCAGTTCGATTAGATAAATCAGGCGCAGTGGATGTTATCTGATTATTGTGGATTAAATAAAAGAAATATTTTGTTGGAAAAAAGACGCCATATCTATTTATTTTTGCGTATCTCTTGATAAAGGAATTCGACAAAAAATTTATGCGAACAGCTGAATGGATTTGGTTAAAAATTCCAAAATAAATTAAACAATGTGGCTAAACTAGCAAAAACTTATGTTTTACGAATGAAAAAGGCAAAAAAAAAAAACGATGAATTTAAAATGATTTTAAATGAAAAGCACAAACAAAAATTATTTTTCTAATTTGTCTAAATAAAAAAACACAGTAAAATTTTCATTTTACCTGTTGCCGTGGATTACAGTGATTCTCAAAACTTAATATCACAGGAAATTCAGAAGTTTTAAATGCACTTTCAGCAATTGCTTCTAGTACATCTTTAGCATTTATTTCAGGAACAAATGTATAACCATGCACAATAACGGGTTCTTCAGTTCGGCCATTCCAAAAATCTAATTCAACGCACCTAAAATAGTACAATAAAATAAGAAATACAAAATAATGCTATTAAAAATTATAAATGTAAAATAAAATTTAAAAAAAAATTTCAATTTGAAAAACATTATTATTCAAAAATACTGTGCTGTTGTTACAACAAGCCGGTTTTTTTTTGTACTTTGTTACGTTGCCCTTCTGATTAGAAGTATATTTTAGATATCAATGTATATTATGAATTTAATTGAACCCTCATGAATATTAAAAAAACATTAATAAAATATTTAAAAAAAAAAAATTAAATTTTCTGTGTATTACTTCGAAAAATAAGAAAATATAAAAAATTTCATCTTATTTAATAATTTATTTTCAAAATAAATTTTATTATTAAAGTAAATTACTGGACATGTTATAAAAAAATTATTTTTTTTTGTAATCAGCATCTCTATGATTAACTACATACAATGATAAAGTGCCCCATTTTAAGCATTTTTTCCAATTAATAACTGTAATTAATAAATGAATGTATGTACGTGATAATTAATTATTTTTACTTAAATGACAGCAAGTAATTTGTTTCCAATAAATTTTAATATAATAATGATGTCTTTTCATTATACATTAATTTTGAATGGCACTATAATTATATATATTTAAAAATAATAGTAATAAACTTTAATTTAAAAATATATAAATCACTATATTAATATTGTGTTAAAAAATAACAACCACTTAATTTTTTAAAATTACCACAAAGAAAAATAAATAATGGAAACGTTTAACTCTTTTATTAATCAATAAAAAAAATTATGCACCAAATCTAAATAAATGCTTAATTAATATATATAGTGCATCAATTACGTAATATATGTATATATAATGTACACAGAAATCTAACGTAACAAAATAAAATATTTTGACTAAAAAAAAAAATTTTATATCCTTCCTTTTGATTTAGTATAAAAATTTTATAATAATTTATATATAAATATAATATAAATATAATAAAAATTAATATATATAAAACATACCTGCATCCGGCTAATAAACATTGACGATAAATTTCTACAGAACTTTTACCAGTTAATTGATGACCGGTCAAATATGTGTTATGTGATGAATTTATAAAATAATGAGATAATGGCTGATCCATGTCATCACAAATGTCTAATTTATTCGGTGCCATAACTGGATTATCATCTGACATTAAGTACCTGTGTAATAAAAATAATAATTACATTATAAAAAATGACATAACAACAACAATAATAATAATAATAATAATTATGTATGTTTACTATAATGATTATGTATAAAAACGGTTTGCTTATAAAATTATTGTGTACGAACATATATATATATATATATATATATTAAATTTTATTAGATATATTACATATATATTATATCAGTATGCAAATATAGAACTTACAAAGATAATAATTTAAAATATTTTGAAATACTGGGTGGTTTGCATAATTTTATTTCCTCAGTGTTCTAAACTAAAAATGCTATGAAGTTTGTCACTATGAAACTTAATGTATCACTATGCAATAACCATTTTAGTGCATATTTAAAAATACCGTAATAGCTAAGACAACCAAAGTTATACTCCTACTTTTTATAAAAAAGTAAAAAGAAAAACATTTGGCTTCAATCGTCCATGCCTCCTAAATTTGTTGCGACAGAGACCTAAAGGCCTGGTTGCGGCAGAAGCGGGATACAATTTTTTTTCTTACTAGCAAAAATCTACACACTGTTAGTGCACTACTATACTGCACAGTAAGAGAACACTCTGTATATATTTATACATAGATACAAAATAAATATCCTGTTTCCTAGTTATCTTCTATATAGGAATATAAAATTTTACATAAAATGCAAACAAAATAAAAATTATATAATAAAAAAAAAAAACCAAAATAACAAAAAAGAAAGTTCAAAGTATAAGTATAACAAAAATCTAATGATAAAATTTATTATGATGACGTTTAAGTTAATAATATTGATGATGATAAAGCTGAATATAATAACAATAATTACATATACATATGTAAGTATTATTAAATACATAATGCATTTTCATGTAGATATATCTAGATTCGAGTATAATGTAATATTTTATGTAATATCAGAATATTATACACGCAAATATTATGCGCATATCTTTAAAATAGCAACATTATTCTACAAATATACGTATGTATATTATATATATATATATGTACGTGTATATTTATTTATTTCATTATTATTATTGTGTAGATCAGAAAAAGGATTTTTGAATTTATTATGAAAATTTAATCAAATTATACATTTATACATACTGTATGTGTATATGTATATTAGGGGTTATATTTAATATCAAATATTAAAATATAGAAAGTAAATATGTATAAATACAATATGTATTTGTAAATTGTAAAAATCTATAGTAATCAAAATTTAATATAGTTATCAGCTATACCATTTTGATTAAACTTCCGCTTACATAATATACATTTAGTTCGCCTTTTTACATTGGTCTATTTATATTGGATGGTTTGTTTCTTATAATATTACATTACATCCTCCTCGCTACAAATTCATATAGAGAAAGAAAGACAGAGAAGGAGAGGCATACTCAATATTTTCGATAATACTCAATATTTTCGGTAAATTTAGTTATAAGACTTGACATTAATATTAAAACATTATTTTATTCAATGTTGATACGATTTTCTTTTGCTAAAGTAACTATATATCACAAAGTGGATCGGGCGGTATTACAACGGGCAATACTGGCCTATGCGTCACTGACGGTAGTTGTGTCGACCTAACCTATCCTACTCAAAGTTCGAATAAATAAGTTTTAGTGTAAAATAATGTTGTTTAGAATTGAAGATATCGTAAAATTACGATTTTAGAATTTTCTGAATTATTTACATTTCAATATATTAAATTATTTTAAATTTTAAGTCAAGCTTGTGCAAGAAAATTTTTTCCAAAAATTAATATACTTTAAAAATTCTCTTATTAATAATAACAGGATGAGAAATTTTTAGAAATTTTTGTATAAATATTATAAAAATCAAATAAAATTTATGACTGTACTATTGTAATCTATACGTATATATATGGTTTTGTACATAATATGTATTTATGTACTTTTGTTTTATATGCATAAATATTCTAAAGTGTTAATGTAAAGGATGTTGCAACTGACAGAAAGACTTCGATTTGTATGTGGAAATAATAATTATTATTATATACATATTTATATGTACAAATAATCAAATATGAAAATTTTTTACATATATTATACATTGCATATTTCAAATAATATAAATAATATTTTACTTTTTGTAAATATTTATTATTTATATACAAATATACACGTATATTTTATTTTATTTATCCTTTATAATTTAAAATGAAAATAATTTATATTATAATAACAATTTAAGGTAAAATTCCTTTCTTTAATTTAATATATAAACAATATTATTAAATTATATAGATTCCTTTAATTATTATTGAAGAGATTTAAAATAAAAAATTTTTTACTCGAATTATTTCATTTCTTTGATTTACATTGTTTAATTTTATAATTATTTCATTTTATATAATTGCCTTACAATTTAGTATGTTAAATAATATATATATATGATATATAACATATATATATGCATATATAGCATATATAGCATATATAGCAAGCATATATAGCAAAAATATATATATATATATGGTTTGCTATATATATATATATATATATATATATATAGCAAATATATATATAAATATATTATATCATATATATATATATGTATATATATCAAATCTCATTTTCAATTAATAATTAAGCTAAATGCATATAAATTAAATTAAATTTAACGAGATATTTTAATTAAAGAGAATTCTCAAATTATATAAATAATTACTCATATTTTATTTGATTATTAAATAATATAATATATAGAGTGTAATTATTAATATTGTTAAAAATTTGAATAATATTAGAAGGATTAATGGAAAATTAATTTAATAATATTGTTTTTAAAGTTTAATTTTCGTATAAAACAATAATCCTTTAGTTGTAAATAAAACAAACTGTCTTTTAATTGAATTGTTTAAAATTATAGCGCATACTACGAGTATATACTCGCTCTCGTAAGACTAAAATTAGAGTAACTTGTGAGATTATTAAATTAAATTATGAGTTTTCCAAATTACAAAAAAAGTTACAAAAAAAAATTGTATTTATAAAAATTAAATTTTTAATATGATTTTTTGTTACTGTAATTTCTCATGTTAAAGTTAACTTATATACAAAAACTTATATACATTATATATGCGTACATAATGCATATTTACTTTAAAAATAAATGCAAATAAATTTAACAAAAGAAAATTCAGTCGTTTTAGCTTTTTAATTTTCCTTCATAAGCAAATATATATATATATATATATATATATATATATATACATATATATATATATATATATATATACAGACATAAAATCTGTTTATGATAAGAAGAGATGAAAATGATGAAAGAAAGTTATTTTTATAATAAGGATAATAAAAAATCCTATTTAGAATCAAAGAAATTGAATAATATTAAAAAATATCATTATTTTCCATGTGCTCATTACATAATATGCATGTATATATATTATATTATGTATATGCATTGTGTATATATAATATAATAAAAAATATATACAGAAATACTTAATATTGTTATTTAAATAAAATTAAATAACATTTTTTTTTCTGGGTAAAACAAGAATATTTTTTTTCTCTTTATTAATTTAAAGAGAATTTACATACATAAATAAAATCATACTCTTAATGTGAGAGCATATAATAATATGAAAACAGGAATGCATTATTAAAGCTTAATAATATATACCGTTATGTTTTTCCATTTTTCCTTTGCAACATATTATTATTATCACGATGTGGTAATATGTATGACATATGTATATGTGTACGTAGTAGGAATTCTGACTTAAAATATTTGCGTGCTTAAATAAAACATTCTCATATTATGTGAATACAAGTATATGACATTAAAAATGTAATTTTATTTTAATGTTAAGTTATATAATGGTATTTATAAAGACAAGTTATCCAATTTGTTTTTTTTTACGATTATTATTATTAATATTAAAATGATTTAGTTTTAATTTTGATCCACATAAAAAGTAATATATGATTTAATGTATGATTAAATAGTTTTCAATTATAAAGTATTTACCTATATATATATATATATATATATATATATATATATGTATATATAAATACACATATATATAAACACATATATATATATATATATATACATACATATATATATATATATATATATATATATATATATATATATATATATGGATATAGCTAAATATATGATTAAATAGTTTTCAATTATAAAGTATTTACCTATATATATATATATATATATATATACATATATATATACATATATATATATATATATGGATATAGCTAATAGCCATATATATATCTATATATATTTACATATATATTTATTTTTATGCATATAAATAAATATATATATATATATATATAGATATATATATATCTATTTATATCTATATATATATATATATACGTGTATATAGCTAAAATAACTTGAATGCTTAAATGATTCACTTGAATTGTTTGAAATATTTTAACACTTAACGTTTATAATAATAGCTTTTCAGAGTGTTATTCTTTATAGTAATATTTTTGATATTAGTGCTGATTGCTTAGCACCTTTTTTTGAGAACAATTTCAAAATTGGAAAAAAAAATATAAAATTCTACACGTATGTACGTTTGTCTGGTCATTCGTTTGTCTGCACGCATCGATTTAAGAAGAGAATTTTAAAAATTTTATTTTCCGTTTCAAAGTTAAAACATTCCAAGACAACTGACACACATCTACGAATTTCAGGAATCACACAAAATCAACGAAATTCAACATTTTCACTTCGTTTTGATTTATATATTTGAAGAAAAATACGATAAATTTTTAAAATGCAACTTTATCATAGTAAACACTATGTTTTATATTCCTTGTTATACAAATTTTATATTCCAAATTCCCATCCTATACCGGAAACAAATGAAAAAACTAGCTTTTTTCAATAAATTTAAATTTTCTATTCTACAAAAAAAAAACAATGTGAAACAATATTTTACCGATTGTATTGCATGCAACAAGGGATGTTTTGTGATGGCACTAAATTTCAGATGTCGAGATTTCGGTGGGAAAACACTTCTCCATAGTAGAGTAAATAAACTATTTTTAGAGAGAAGTCGGTTTGCTTAAAATTTTATATGTGAGTTTATTTCGGCTATTTCACGGGTTGATCAACTTTTGATATATATCAGACCTCGGGAACTGGACTGGTCAATTATATATTTTTACGTATATAAAGCAAAGTTATCAAAAATTTTCCTTAAAATTTAATGTTTAAATCGGGGTTTTAAAAAAATGAACATATAATTTTTTGGAAAGATCAGGACATGGCAACCGGACTGGAGGCCGATTTTACATTTTTACTATGTCAACGGAACAGATTGACGAAATTTTTTGAAATTTTGATATTTGAGTTCTAGCTGTTATCGAAACTCACTAATGAACTTTTGAACACTAATGAAGGGAATTCGGTTGTGACAAAGTAAAATCCTACTAAAGAAGAGCCAATTTTACAATTTTGTAGGCATTTTAACTGAAAGCTTGCTAACTTCCTTAAGGTTGAAAAGAATTAAGTGTTCAAAAAGCATTTTTAAAATCTTCTGCAATTGTTTCACTAAATAAGGCAATACAGAATGCCGTCGGTTATGTGCTGATCCCATCAAATTTTTTTTATAGTTAATTCCAGCTATAGATTTAAAAAACAAGAATAAAAACAAGCAGACACACATATTAAAGATTTAAATTTTTAACAGGATATTTATTTTGAAGTGATTTCAGGAAAATAATAACGGATATATACTTTTACATTATATACACTATGTACATAAGTACATTTTAAAATACCAAAACATATGAGATTATAATACAAGAGTTTTTATTTAATATTTTCATTTTGCCGAAAATAAAAGAGAAAAATTATGAATTTTTTAATGTTTATGTCGCGGATACATCACAGTTATCCTTTTTAATAAACAAAGGATTTAAACAAAAACAAAAAAATTGAGAACTAATTGAAATTAAATTGTGGGTTTAATGAGTACGATTAAAGATATAAAAAAATTTTTGAAAAATTTACTATAAACGGAAAGAGGAAGAGAAAAAAAGAGGGAGGCAGAGAGAGAGAGAAAGAAAAAATTGCTGAATAATAAAACAAATTTTAAGGATTTATCATCGGAAGAAGATGAAATTAAAAAAATTAAAAAATAATTATATTTTATATATTTACGAGTATTGTTTATTATTGTTGTTCTTGGCTATGTTGAAGGTGAATTAAGGGAAAAAAATTATTTTTTTTTTTTGATAAATTTATTCAAGTGAAAAGAGAATATTTAAAAAAATTATGAAATTTTTAACAAAAAAAAATCTGTGGAAATTTTTAGCGAACCTGTGAAAATATTATGGTTTACTTATTTCGGGAACGTAATGAACATTTCGTACACATAATGTATGGTACCCAATGAAGAGTAAATAATTTTAAAAATTCATTTGAAACTTTCTAATATTTAATTCAATTCTAATATTTAAACATCTTATATTCTGCATTAATATATAACAGAATATTGAAAAATTGAGGTGATCTTGAAGTACTATAACATTTTCTTAATAAGAATTTCGGATTTTTTCAACAGGGCCGGAATGGGTACGTAAGTTCTATAGTAAGTTGCTGTCTAAATGTGGCATTAGCAACTAACCAATGAAACTTTAATGACATTAAATCTAACAATCAAATTCTATTCTCATGTAGATAATTCTTGAACTGGGCCTTTATACGACCTGTGCCAAGATTATAAAAATCTTAACCTAAAATTTATATTCAAAACATATTAAATTTTTAAATATAATTTAATAAAAAATGTTTTACTATGCTAAAAAGAAGAAATCTCTATTAAACATGGAAAATTTTTTAACATGAATATGAGTTCAAATCTATGAAACGCTGAATGGTACAAAATGTTTCTTTAATTCAAACACATATACTTGCATATACATCATATGTATATAATATTACATATATAGAAATAAATATATATTAATTTAAAAATTACTTTGAAAAAATTATTATTACCTTAAAAAACCATCAAGGCTTAGTAATCCCTTTGCAGCATTAAATTTATTTGGTTCATAATCACAAATAATTTCTTTTGCTCTTGTTGTATTTGCATAAGGATATAAAATTTCATTTAAACGTGGATCCCTTTGAGTTTTATTTAAGAAATCAACTAATTGAGATGTTGTCATGCATCGACGTTTCGAGTTACCAACTCTATAAAATATAGGAGAAAAGAAAAGAATATATTAAAAAAATATTTATTGAAAATTTTATTTAAATAAAAATAATAAATTTGAAAATTTATACTTACATACTATCAAAAATTTTTTCTACTTCACTTCTTTGCGTTAAATTTTTATATAAATTAAAAAAATCTTCAAATTGAAATTTTGATATTGATAAACCTTCAACTTTACCAGATGGTAGGCCAGATACATCTAAAGCTTTTTCAACACGCTTTCGATCATCTTTATTTTGGGCAAATAATTTGATTATACTATAAAATAAAAATGTATATAAAGTAAATTTTGTTTATTTAATGGAAAATTATATTATATTAAAATATATATATATAAATGGTGTACAAGTTGAATAGAATAGCTCTAAAATATTATTAGAAAAGAATTCCCTATAGGGATCAATGTCTTTTTAAGTAAGAATATAAAAAAAAAGTTAGAAAGTTTAAAATGAGATGCCTTGTACAGTAGAATTACCCTATACATAAAGTTTGAATGAAAATTTATTGATTGAACTACTGTGTTACCTACTATGATTAGACCACTTTAAATTGTGCGTGTAGACTGTTTAAATCAAGCACATTTATAAAACAGTTTTCTCATAAGAAACGTTCCTTTCCCAATTCCGAGCCAGTCTTCTTGCCAATTACGAGTCAAATCTCGAATGGTATATTTTTTATTTTACGGAGACATTCAATAATTTATAAGAAACATTTTAAAAATTTAATACTCGTATCAAAGGACCGGTGATTCTAGAGAATTTAACACTATGATTTTGATTAGTAAGCAATTGAATTTGAATTAAAGTAATTCATAAAGCACCTTTTATACGGTAATATACGGTTTATATTCAATGATTCTATATTGTTAATATTACAAAATCCTAAATCACGAACACTTTTAATAATAATTACTTTAATTTTCACCATTATTAAATTCCTTTAAAAATAAAACTATTCCAAAGAAAATCCTTAAATCTTCAGTTTTCATAAATCTTTTTTTTTGAAAAACAATTGCTTTTCTTCCCTCTTGCATTTTTCTTTTAAAAAATCTTAAAAAGTATAACAGAGGAAATTATTTCTTTACTTAAGCATAAATTAGAAAAATTTTCATAAATTTTTATTTTAGCCATTTTTTATTTCATTATTGTTCGCTTATTTTTTTTTGTTTTTTTAATTATATATTCTTCAACTTAAGAAAATATAGGACAAACCACTTATTATTATTATAGAAACTGCATAATATAAAAGAAAAGAAATCATTTTTTCGAATAGTGTTCCACTTTTTCTAAGAAAATCTAAAAATTTTCTTATAAAGGAAGATTGAATAAAAAATAATTTATAAAAACGCGAAATTGATGGTCTATATAATATAATAATGAGTGCTACAATGCTCTGAACAGGGTAAAAGGAAGTAGAGAGAAAGAGAGAGGGAGACAAAATAATGTCGCTTATTGTACAAAATATTGTGTAAGTTTTAATTTAAATCTCATAACTATGGGAGATGTTAAAGCACTAAAAGAATAACTGAGTGTGTATATACTAATATACTAATATATACGTATATGTGCTAGAATATGCTTTCTAAAATTTGATAAAACAATAATTTTATTCTATAAAAATTTTGAAATTAAATTTTCAAAACAATTAGTTATCATTTTTAATGTGATTACATAAAAAATGTGAAATTTTTATAAAAGAAATTTTGAACTCTTTTGAAATTAATTTTATTATTTTAATTTTGAAAAATAAATTGTTTAGTCATGTCTTTTTTATTATTTCTAGTCTTAAGGGAAATAGTAAAAAAATATTATCAGTTTAAAGAATTCAGTAAACTGTTATACTTTCTGAGTGTAGAAACGTTTCTAAATACACTTGATATGCTGTTTTGGAAAAAAAATTGCTTATTTTATTTACCAATTGCTTTACGCCGTATGGTAACTGCATCGAATTGAAATGTTCAATTATGAAAGCGAGTGTTAATCAAACTGTTATACTAACAAAAATCTGCGGTGGTTAAACTTTGAGATACCGCAGCAAAAAGTTGGAATTTTTAACAACTGAATGCCTCTTTCGTTTAGAGAAATATTAGAAACATAATATAACGATCAATGCCAGAGGGTATTTTGTTATAGTGACTTTCGTTTGTATACTATTTTCTGGACACAAAAAGTATGCCATTACCTTTCTTTGTTTAAGGAATTCTAATGAAACTACAAAATAATGACGACAAAAATTATTGAATAAAAAATCCCATTACATTTATTGGTGAAACTTTAATTATCTTCAAACTCAACTTTGGGAATCTTGTTTTTGAATAATATTATTGGAGAAAAATAAACGAATTTAAAAGTGTACTGAAACATTATAGTTCCAGACGGTAAATGTGTAAGTTTTTGCGTTCCAAAGATCCAATTTTTTTCAAGATAATATTTAAATAAATCCGTATAGATTCCATATTTCAATTAAAAACTTTAAACATTTTCCAGAAAACAGAAAAGAATGAAAACGATATAAAAAAATTTTTTTTCCACTTCATTAAACTAACAAATCCTCGAACTTTTGCATATACATACTTAGTTACTATTAACTAGTTCAATTCTTTACCACAAACAAAACTTCAATTTTTTATTTTCCCTCAATATATTCTTTTGCTTGTCGTTTCTTTTTATGTCTGCCATGGATGATGATTTGAATAAATAATGATTTTAAGGAATGCTGCTCCAAATTAGAAGGAAAAAAATTGTAATTGCGTAAAGCTGATTTTAAATTATTTTTTTTTGAGTTGAGGTTTTGCCTCAATTCTTTATTTCTTTAATTTATTTTTATCACAATGATACTGTTATTAACAAGAGATTTTGTATGTATCTGTTTCTTTAGTCCAAATTCTTCTTCTGCTCTCAAAACACGTCGGCTTACATTTGCGTAAATATTCGAATTTTTAAAACATTCTGGTTTTTGAATTGAAAAAATGTTTTGTTTTTTGTCAGAAATTAAAGCAACCTTTTTTCTTTTAAATTTTGATTTGTTTTTTGAATTCAAGAATGTACAGATAGAAAATATTTATTTCAGAATATTTTCAGAACTCTAATTAAAAAGAACATTTACATATGTATATCGGTTGGGCAGGTTTAAGGAAAACGTACTTCATCAGGATACGCGGTGAGAGTGAGGCATTTAATTCAATAAAAATAGTGTATTAAATAGTTACTATGGCTGAACTTATAATAATATTAAATCGCTGCCTATTCGGCAATCTGTTAGCTGTTGATATGCCGGCGGCACGTTCCACTCTATCAAAAAAATGATTGGGAAACTGTGAGAATTCAAACCTACAACGCCACCAGGCAAAGATTTAAAAACTACAGTTACGGTCACAAAATTACCCAAAGGATCGTCGAATCTGATGAAGTAAGAGTGTGAGTTCGATCACCAAACTGTAATGAGAAATAAACGGGTAGATGAGTTTATTAGTTACGCTTTAAGACATTTTAAGATTGGGACGGTTTTTAATTCCCATCAATACGTCTGTTAAATGAAATATACTGTACGCGGTTCGTCAAGAAAATTGTAGTCAAATTACCACCTAAGAAAATCGGCAAAGCTCTTGACAATGTCTCGTAGAGTTGGAATGATGGAAGACCCTGTATAATTATACGAGAAATTTTGTCATTTCAGACTATGCCAGCAAGACTTTAATGAACGAGATGTTAAAGACTGATATGGAGACTTGGATAAATTCATCAAAAAAAAACGGGAGGTTTAGGTGAACAACCTACAACTGAGCATTTAATGACAGCTTGGTTAGCATGGGAAGGATGTTATCAATACCTTTTATTTGTGTTGATTGCATTGCTGCCGACCTGCTGGACCAATCCAATTAAAGAGGAGTGCGATTACTGTAAGACTATCAACTTTTGCAAAATTATTTTTAATTTCGAATTTATTTTTTTTTTTAATTTATATTCAAAAGCAACAAAAATTCAACTCTTGTACAACAACTGACCTCATGATCATTTCCATAATATTTCATTCAAACATTAAATGTTTTGTGCTCATAAAAACTTTATTAAAATGCTTTTGAAAACAAATCCGTTTTTGAAAAATTTTACTGTTTTGCATCATGTTTTTTAATTGCAACATCTTGTTCTTTTTTAATTTTTATCATATTATTTTTGATGCAACTTTTAATATAAAAGAAAATAATAAAGTTTTTTATATGGTAGAAAAACAATGGACATAAACTTTTTTTTATAAACAGTACTTCACGATATTGTTTCAAAATAATTGTACACATAAAAAATACAAAAAATTCTAAAAAAGTTTATGAATATTTTAAAAAAAACGAAAGAAACAAAATCCTTATTGCTCCTGAATTGAACTTGTTATTTTAGTTTGAATGTTGTTAGGTTAGGTTATCTACCATATAAAATGTGTGCACGTACATGTGTGACTGCAATCATATAATTGATGACATGCATAAAATGAAATAATATTAAATTTTTATTTTTCATTTAAGAGAGAATTTAAAATTTTTATATTTGAAAACAACATAATCTACGACAGCAGCACTTTAATAGTGGCAGTTATAGTTTTAGTCATTAAAATATTATTTAATGTACCTAATGTGGATATTTTGTTAATGGGTAGTTTTCCTTAAACTGCCTTCCAGAGATAGTCAACCCTAATATATATTGTTTCTTGAAAAGACACGTAATGTGAAAGTGCTAAATTGATTTATCTATAATTTGATCATTCATCAATTTTTATGAAGCTATGAAGGGAGTACTGTGAATAAAGAAATACAAGGATCCTGGTGCCTTTACTATTGTTAGGGAGATCGACAGCATTCTGGACATGGATTTGAATTTGGACTTCGGATCGATGTTGAAAAACATAGTGAGAACCTGGGTTTTGGATCTGCCTGAAAAGAGTGACCCTCGGTCTTCAATTTAGTTTTGGAGTTGTGATTTTTCATACAGATGAGTTGTGAACCGCGAAGCCGTAAACATCATAAGGGACACCATCTATCAATATTTCAGGTTGAAACATATGGTATTGAATTGTGTGCTCTGGAGTGTATCAGACGGAATCTTAGAAGGAGAAGAACCCACCGTCCGGCATAATAAAGATCATCGTCTGAAGCGATTTGGTCCAAACTTTTATAGGAATGTTTGATTTCTTTCGCGTTCGGAAAGCTAATGGTCAGCCGCTAGAAAGGGAGTGGTAACTCCGTTAACTGAACTGAAATTATGGTTTTTTAAGCGGAGGACAATGGTACTGCCCGCAACCACCGGTACCTCGGTGGTTGGGAGGAACGGAAGATGAGATATTTCGTCTTTGCCTGGAAAAAAACGAAACGATGGAACACTAATTGTGTGAATGCGATGCGTAACTCACCTACGACTTAGATGCTTTGGAAGGGTTTAGATGGAAGTGCCGCTGCTTAAACTATTACGACAGGACTCAAAAACAAAAAAAAAAACATCTTTCCTGAATTTTTTGATTTTGTATATTCATTTCCAATGAATTTATTTTAATGATGCAAGGTGCTTCAGAGATTTAAGTTAAAATTTATTTTTAAGAGAAAGCTTACTCTCATTTATCTTATATTTTTCTATTTTACTAATAACACTTTTAATATCAACTATTTTCATTACTCACTTTTTAACAGGAATTTTTCCACTTCTATCCACTTGCAAACAAAGTTTTGTATAAGCTTTCTGTAAAAAATTGTTTGTGGAACCATTTAATTGAGCTAAACTGTATGCCAACTTCATAAGTTCATCTGTCCAGTGCTGTAATAGTAAAGAAAACATGAAAAATTATTTAAATAAAAGAGTAAAAATTGTTTGTAAAAATAAAAGATTAGTGAACTTTTGAATTCTATATTAACTTCAGTTACATATATTTTAAGAATTTATTTTTACTTATATAAATTCATTTATATAAATATTATGTGTATGTATTCTACAAGTATTTTTCATGTATAATTTAAATACATATATAATTCATATATAAAAGTTTTAAAAACTATTCGTAATTCAGGATGTTAAAGGGAAATCATTTTATAAATGTGATCTAAAAAATTTTTCTAAAAAAAAAATTTGTGTAGGAAACATATGTGTTTTAAAGTTTTTAATAAACAAAATTCAACAAACATGTTATGCTTCCTCTCAGTTTATACTTTTTGAAGTAGTACATATTGTATAATCGAAAAGTACACTTACAATCATGTATGGAAAATAACATGACTATTAAAAGTTTTTGAATATTATAAGATTGGTTTTGTAAAATTGTACATATAAAGTGCAATGCCAGTGTATGTACAAATAATAATTATGTGTGTTTTATGAAAATTAATGTGAAAAGTTTTTTTTTGTTTTTTAGAATTTTTGAACTATTACAATAATATCCTTTATTAAGCAGAATATGATTTAAACTTAAAATAATCTTCCTTCCGTTAACTTCTATAAGTTTATGTATCTATGCTGTTATACTGTTATACATATTACACATATATGTATGTAAAAACAAAAATTAAATTACTTTAAAACTAACTTTGCATAGAAATGCAATAATTTTAATGGAATAAATTTTGAAGTTATAATGTTTGACGCTTCAGCACTTAAGTTGTACTGCACAAAATTTATATATAAAAGTTATACGCGATGATTTTGAATTATCATTTACAAGTTGAATTGCGGCATAGCTTGTGTGATTAGCAGTGAATTCATACAATAACTTAAGTGATAGTTTTTAACATTGAAAACGGTAGATTATGTAATGATGAAAAATGGTACAAAAACGGTTTGAGACGCCAAAGCTTTCTCTTTCTCTCTTGATAGAAATAGAATACTCTCTTAAGAGTGATCCATTCGAGTGCTTTACGATTCGAATGTTCGTATTAAAATGAGTGCTTTACGATTCGAATGTTCGTATTAAAATGAGTGCTTTACGAAAGTAAGAAGAAAAATCATAATTTCTATACCTAATATTGATAGCTGTTTCCAAGACACAAAAGCTCGGGCTTTTATTAGGCAAAAAGTTTAATAAATTTCTGAGAAGAATTTCTTATAATTCAGAATTAAGTAGAACTCTTATAGCCTCTCCCCAGAAAAGCATTAGAATTCTAGATGTAAGTGCGACATAGAAAAGAGTCGAGTATCAGAATCACGAAATTCCTTCTTTGGTTAGTTTATGGTGAAAGTCGGATTCAAGAACGAATGTAAGGGGTCAGTTTTCAGACCATCCTTCTGGAAGGAGTGCGAAGGAAGTAAGATAAAGAGGGAAATTGATGCATAAAAATGTTTCATCATAAGACAATCGAGATTCTGGAACATAAAAATGACTTAGCTTAACAAGACAAAGTGTTGTTAAATTTCAGGACCTTGCATAACATAAAATCTAGAAGAAAATACCACCAAATATTCTGTGATTTTTATTACTAGTTATTCAAATAGCGTCTTCAAATTTTTTTAAAACATCGTCATCAATTGAATCTCTAATTAAAATACCATTTACACTTTTATAAATTATTGCAAAATGCTATAACACTTACTTTCTACATATAATAAACATTAGCAATTTAGTTTTACCAACCCAATAATAAAAAAAAATTAAATCAAATCACTAAACTAAAAATAACTGAAAAAAAATTACTCGTTTTTCTATTTATTTTTTATTATTATACTCGTAAAAAAAAACCTTATAAGTTTTCTCATTTATAAAATCATTTTAGCTTAAAATAAAATATAATCGACGTGTTGTATATATAATAAAGCAATATAATAATAGAAAGTAAGAAATTAAAATAAAAAGCTTATCAACAAAGTACTAAGTTCCGCTCAAGTCAATTAAACACAATTGAAGTAATCCCCTTAAATAATATGCATATACATGTAGGTCTAGGTACCTCCTATATGTATATATAGTTCATGTCCAGTAAAATAATTATTAAAGCGTGCAAATCACTAATTATATTCATATAATGTATATTGTATACACGTACCTACCTAACTATTTAGAAGAACACACTTCAATGGAAAAGACCGGTCAAGAGAAAAATGAATTTTATTTATAGAAATGTGTGTAAACAAACACACACCAACTTATATTACAAATTTTATAAATAGAAAGTAATATAAATAGAACAGACTATCCTTAAAAACCAAACCCTAAATAAAAAACAAATGTATAAATTTCTAAATTTTTCCTATTTACCCTCTTGTTCTATCATTCTATCTTTCTTTTTGTCTATTGTGAAAAGTAACTCATAAAAATAAAAACAGACTGCCATTATTAAAAGTGCCAACAGGAGGTTATCTAAAATGGAAAATTGAAGTCATTAAAATTTATACTTGTATATACATACAAACATATAAGAAAGCATTGTAGAAAGTAGAGTAGAAAAAAATATTAAATTATAATCTATAAAAATAAATCTTAAATATTTATAACAGTTTTATATAACAAATTTAAACTCTGAAAAATTATATTTTTTGTATTATAACTAATTTATGAAAATATTCAATTTTTATTAGAACCTTTTTGTATATTAAAAAAAATTGTGAATTTTGTTGCATACATTTAGGAGGAACATTAAATAATTATCTTATTGCATATAATTGATAGTACCATAATCATAATTTTGAATGAGACAAAAATTATGTTCCACTTTATTCACATTATTAGAAGGTCAATGAATCCCTTATAATTTTGAGGAAATAATTGACAGAAACTTATTTCAATTTGAAGGGGCAGGGGCAATATGCGTTAGTTTGTCTCTGTTGTTTTCTTTAATTTTGCCGAATCGAAGAGATACATGAAAAACTTTCAACATTTTAAGAATTTTAAAATCCTTTTGATCGAAAACTTTAAGGTATTTTTCGAACTAATTTAAAGTTATAACAAATGTACGAGTTTGACAATAATAGCTTGAGTACAAAGTGAAGGGAGTCGAAAATTTTATTCTATATAGAGAAATATTTTTTTCAATAATTGACAATAAAAACTTATGAAATTTCGGTGTTTTATCAAGAATGATCGTAAAGAATACGTACAGTACAGGCTAGCCAAATGGACAAGTAAACTAAGACTAAAATGCCATGTCAATACCAAATTGTTCTTATATTTTTCATATAGTGAATTATCCTGTTACATACGCTTAATAATAAATACAATATTTTTCGCTTAATAACAGTATATCTTTCGGTTTGCATACCTTAATTTTTTGCAAAAAAGCAGATTATGAAATCATGAAAGTAATAATATTAAAGAAAATATTTTAAAAAACTTGACTACCAATATGAATTATTAAAGTCTTTAACACGGATTCTCTTTTCACGAAAAGTATAAATGGGTATACAGGCGGCTACACAAGTATGTTATACGTTTACGTTACATCAGGTAAATTTAACATTATATAAATCATTTTATATCGTGGTCTTTTCACAATGTACGTTCAATCGTTTATAAATTATACATGATGATTTTTGTACTTAAATACGAGCGACAATATATTAGTTATTATTGGGTACCTAGAGATGCATGTTTATTTGAAAATTAATCGAAAATAATGGAAAAAATCATTAATGAAAACGATTTAAAATTCATATTCAAAGTTATGAAAATATTGCAAGGGTTCTTTTTTGCAATTTTTGACGAGTAATCATAATTTTTTAATAAGCATTTTTATTAGCTTTCAAAGAGCTGCTTCAAAAGAATTATTATTTTTTTATTACCACCAATTAACAATAAATTTTCATTATGAAAAACATAATTATCTCATACAAATTTTTATTAAAATTACCTTCCAATAAGGTCACAATAGACCAAATTCTTCTATTCTCATTATTTTCATACAAATTTCATTATCAAAATTAGATTTCAAAAATAATTGTACTTATGAATTTTCTGCTTACATATTAATTCGGTATCCAATTATTACGTATATAATTTTCTTAATTAACAGGGTAAATTAAAATTTTTATAAGAAACCCTAACCATTACAATTGTATTTCATTTATTTCAATTGTACTTAATGATATTTTTATCTAAAAATTTTACTCTTTTTGGCCTTAAGTATTCAATATAAAAATTTAATTCAGTTATTCAATTCTTACAGTCTATTTTGTTAATATTCTATAAAATTGATTATTCGTTGTAAAGCACCTTCACCTCGTCACCTTCATTTCGTGAAACTGAGATAAGCTGTAACTATGGTCGGCTTCATTATACGGATTATTATCTCCTAAATATCAAATTAGTGTGCCGAATTTCAGTTGTTTATGTTAGAAGATAGAAATAGTACAACACAATATGTACAATTGTTAAGACGCCATACACTTTTAGACCACATTTCATCCAAAAAGCAAAATTATTCATTTTAAAGAAAATTTTTAACATAACAAAAAAAATTTGCTATTTATATTTAAAATTTCTAAATTAATTCATAAATTTTCTAAGTTGAAATTCTTGAACATATACAATAAGTGTTACCACCTTAACCTTAACTACTAAGTAAGAAATTTATAGTTAATTCTTATCTTCGAACATATAGTTTGTCTACATGAATGCAGAACAAAAATAAAATACCTAAAATTAAATCATGTATAGGGTAAAAATTGTGTGACCTGGAGTGTGACCTGTACATGTGTGATTTTAAATCATTTTTATGTGTTCTGGAAGAAAAAATATAAATTTTATAAAAATAGGTGGTGAAAAAATGTGAATGCTTTCAACATTTTTATACATGAATGCATATACCACAAAAAAAAAATAATAAAATATACCTTAT